CATGAGAGACAGAGGGGGCCCCGAGCTGCCCTTGTGTGTGGATTTGCTCTTCCACAAGCCCAAAGGCCAAACATTTCCCCAGATTTAAACTCTGGGTCTCAGAGCACCTTTGAGTGCCTGGTAGCCTCCAGGGGCTCCTTGGTGCTCCATCTAAGCATCCTAGGGTGACGTTTTCCTCATCAGAGGGCCCCACTGGGCTGCGGGCAGCTGTTGTCTCCATGACAGCCATAGCTGGTGACAACACACCTCCAAAGAGCCAAGTGTGGAAGCAAAGGCTGGGGCGTTGCCTGGGACAGCTGCTTCTGCCAGGTTAGGGCGGGGTCTCTGTGACACTGTGAGCAGGAAAAGGGAGGGACAGTGTCCTTGGGGGCTCCACATGGTCCCTCTTTCTTTGCAAAATGGCCTGCTTGGCTGCCTCTCACTTCCCCAGTTGGATACACAGCATTTGCGTGGAAGAGAAAATCTACAGTGAGGCTGACCTTGGACCATCTACCGGGCCTTGTCTTCAATGCTCCTTCCATTCCTTGGCTGAAAAAAAATGGAGCCACTTAACAGACACTGAGACACAACTGCCTGGAGCCTACCTCTTGGTTCAGATCCTCTCTTTATTGACCACTAAGACCTAGTTCTTCTAACTGGGATTTCACCCCCCTCCTTTGGACTCGCCTGGCAAGGCCTCACCTCTTGTGTGCTAGTGCTAGTCCGCAGGTCCTCTGAGGTGGTGCACCAAGACCCCCACTGCTCTTAGGACTCTGACAACACCCCGCCTCCCCACCTCCACCCCTTGCCTTTTCTTATGTGGTGGGAAGATCTGCAAACCACGCATCATAGGGCTTCTCAGCCTGGAGACATCACAGAGGTCTACTGCTTCTGAGAACAACGCACTAAGATGTCATACAGACCAAAAAGGTGTAGGTGTATGGAAGTGTAGAAGGAGTGGGAAGAGTCTCCATGGTCAGAGAAACTCGGGAAACAAATGATTAAGCCAAGTGAGACAGGCTGTTTCCTGCAGGACTGCTGAGAAGACAGCCAGTGTGAACTGTGACTCTTCAGGAGTGTTGGGTGCAGTGTTTTCCAGTCTTATCTGATTTTCGCAGAGTTCCTCTTAGAACCAGTGATCCATAGAATGCACTTTGGGGTGCACGGGATCTAGTCTGATTTGCTTATTTTTCTGATGCAAACACTGAGGGTCTAGGGGGTAAAGCAGATCAAAAACTAAAAGGTATGTAACTCTTTTGACTCTGTGACCTTCACAAGAACCTCTGTGTCACCTGGGAAGGAGGAGAGGATGGTGCCTACACAACTCTCGCCTGTGTGTTTTGGGGTCCTCATGTCCTAGACCTGAATGTTCAGGGACATGGACTCAGACTCTGGTTTGCCCCCATGTCTGTCCATGAGCAGAAATTCCTCTCCCGCCTCCACACTCCCAGAACTTTGGTGCTCTCAGCCTATATCCCGTTGGACCCTTTCCTTCACAAGCTTGTAGGAGGAGATGTTGACTGAGAGTCCCACACAAAGTAAAGGGTGAGGGCGTCCCCGCAGTTATTCACCAGTTCACCGTGGGGCCCTGGCTGTGCTCAGTCTGCAGTAACTCCATAAGTGGGCTGGCTGCAGTGAATCAGGCTTAGAAAACAGAGACAGGAAATGTGTTATACCCTGAAAAGGAAAAACGGTCGTCCCCAGGTGGCGGTGTGATCCTGCAACAGAAAAACATAAACAATTATGCAACCATGTTGTATGAAAGGTCCTTCAAAAATGTCTATGGGGTGCCCCCCCAACACCCACAACCAGCCCATCAACAACCTCTGAGCCGCAGCAGGAAGCTCCCCGGGCCCCCACCCCCCTGACATCTGCATCCAGTCCAGCAATGACCAAGCCACCACTGGAAGCCCCCTGGTCTCCTCTGCAGGAATGAGGGGGGTGCCACAGGCCTCAACCCCACCCCTCCTCCTTCCTCCTCCTGC